AGAAGTCAGGCAAGAGAAATAAATGAAAGGCATACAAATAAGAAAAGAGGAGCTCAAATTATTCCTGTCTGCATATGATACGATTCAACAGTAGAAAAATCTAAAGACTATACTAAAATACTAGATAGATGAATTCAGTGAAGTAGCAAGATACAAAATATATGTCCAAACTCAGTATTCTTTATATACATCAATAATAAATTTGTTGAGAAAGAAAAGAAAACAATGCCATTCACAATAGCCACCAAAAATGCTGGGAATAAACTAAATAAAGTGTAATGCTTTTGTATGAAGGTTATAAAACATGGAGTAAAGAAATTGAAGTAGACAGTAAAAGGTGGAACAACTTCTCATGTTCATCGGTTGGAAGGACTCATATTGTTAAAATGTCCATAGTACCCAAGTCATCTATAAATTCAAAGTATTTTCCAACAAAACACCAGTGATGATTTTCATAAAAAAGAAAAAACTCTCAAAATTCATCGAGCAAATATTGGACTTCAAGGCATACTATAAACCTATCATAATAAAAACACTCTGGTATTCTCACAGAAACAGACACAAGCCTTTGGAACAGAATAGAGAAGCCAGATACAAATCCACAAGTTTTAAACAATAGATTAAAACAAAGACATATATTGGATAAAGGACCTCCTTTTTTTAACAAATAGGGTTGGGAAAACTGGGTATCACATGCAGAAGATTAAAACTTCACCCCTATCTCTCAACCTGTACAACAGTCAATTCAAAGTGGATCAAAGACCTTGATGTAAGATCTGAAACTCTGGAACAGCAAGAGAAAAATATAGGAGAAAACTTTTTAAGTTATTGGTATAGGCAATGAATTACTGGGCAGGACGCTAAAATGGACAAAAGAAACAAAAATAAAAATTGACAAATGTAATCCCATCGAACTAAAAGTCTTCTTCACAGCAAAGGAAATAATCAACAGAGTGAATAAACATTCATCTCTCAAGAGAACAATTTCCAGATTACACAAAGAACTAAAAAATCTCAACAACCAAAAAACACATAATGCAAAAAAAGACAAGAAATTTGAATAAATCCTTCTCAAAAGAAGAAAGCCAGTGTCCAATAAATATATTGGTTCAATATCATTAATCTTTCTTTGTATTTGCCAATATAAACCAAAGCTATGATGGGATTCTATGTCACCCGTCAAAATGGCTATTATCTTTCTAGGAGCGCTACGCTACAGATCACTATGTCCAGGCCTAACTCACCTCCTCCTGTGGATGAGGCAGGGCCGTGTGGGAGGATAACAGGGGGCAAGAGGGAGTGTGAGAGCAAGGCCTGGCCTAGAAGAGGACATGTCTTCCCTCCCATCCATTCCCCATAAAACCATCAAAGCCCGATGTTCTGCACACCTTAGCTATTCCCCCGTTCCAGTTACAGACCAGCCCCTTTTACCTCCCCCTGCACTTTCCTTGTTTCTACCACTATAAATAAATGTGCCGCAGCTGCCTGGTGGTCTTTTTCTTTCCTCAGGGAGGAAGACCCCTACTTGGCCCCAGCTTTGTTTCTCTGTTCTTTTGTATCTCTTTGTTTTTTGTTTTTTCCTTCACCCCCTAATGAGACTGAGATCTTCACTCCATGTAGGTTGTGATATTATCTAATTATTTAATTAGAGAGAGAAAAGAAAAAGAAGGAAGAGGAGGAAAATGAACAGGAGGACAAAGAGGAGGAGAGGAAAGGAGAAGAAGAAGAAAAGGTGAACAAGGAGGAGGAGGAGGAAGAGGAGGAGAGGGCAGGGGAGTGCAGGAAGAGTGGGGGAGGAGAGAGGAAGGGAGGGGAGGGAAGGGAAGGGAGGAAAAGTGCTGGCAAGGGTATGGAGAAAAAAAGAGCAATTATACATTGTTGATGGGAAAATAAAGTACTATATGGAAAGCAGTGCGAATTCCTCAGAAACTAAATGTACGACTATTATATAATCTAGTTATTACATTCCTGGGTATAAATCTGAAGGGAATGCCAGCACACAAAAACGATACCTACATGCTCATGTTTTTAAGCCCCTAATCACAGTAACTGAGAATCACAGTAGCCTAGGTGACCACCGAAAGACAAATGGATAAGGAAAATATGGTATATGAGCACAATGAAGTCTTACTTAGCCATAAAGAAGAAACTGCACAGAAGAGAGAGAGAGAAAGAGAGAGAGAGAGAGAGAGAGAGAGAGAGAGAGAGAGAGAGAGAGAGAGAGAGAGAGA